TGCGGGACCGAGTTAGATGGCCGCATTGACTACAGCCGTGGGTGATGGTTGGGCGGCCGACAAGTGGGGCTGCGACGAACACCAAACAAACGCGCGACACGTCTGTCTCGTGTACAAATATGGGTTGAAAATGCATCCAGACAAACACCAAATGGACGCGTTTTGGGTTTGGGTCATGTTGGGCTGGTGTTTTCGTTCATTCAGACGCAAACGGACACACGTGCGAACCATTCGAGTAGTTGAACACGGGAAACAAAAGTCCCAACTCAAAGCTTTGGGAGTTGGTCCAATTCGGGCTCTGGTATATCTATTCAGTCTCCAGACCTTATTTTATAGTTAGATTCACCTCTGAACATGGGGCTTCTCAGCGATTTGAGATCCTGGGCCGTCCGATCTGCGTCTTGATTCATTTCTGACCGTCTGATCTTCCCTTGGGTGATTCCTGGCCGTTGTTTTACTGGAAACCCATCCCACAAGCAGGAGGAAGCTAGCAAACAAGTAATAATACAGAATAAATTGTACATCTACCAAATTACATCCTCCGTTTCTAAATATTTATCCTTTTAGAGATTTCAAATAAACTACCGCGTACAGATGTATATAGACACATTTGAGTATAGGTTCACTCATTTTGCTCCGTATGTATTCACTTGTTGAAATCTCTAGAAAGACAAATAACTTGTTGAAATCTCTAGAAAGACAAATATTTAGGAACAAAGGGAGTATGTGCCAAGTCATATTAGTGGTGAACACGCACTGTTGAACGGCACACTAGCAAAAGAAGAAACATAAGGGGGGTTCAAGCAACTTCATTTGCTACATGTAACATTCTAAACACAAACAATCTTTCCCTGGGAATCCCAGACACAATTAGGGAAGTCTCTTAGATTTACAGGCAAACAGAATGTCAGTCCAAGTAAGAATACCATATGTAATGTACACCACGCCTCCTAAACCGAATCCATCCTTGTCTACTAAACTGACAGCGCCAGAGACAGCCTGTGAACAACAACCCCCCACAACATGCTTTTGCTGTACAAAATTGCCATATAAATCAGCAAGCTGTCGCCTCAGAGCCGCTGTCCCTGGCACGAACCGCCAATAGACATGCTTGCATTTCTTTTCTTTTCTTTGGGGCTCCAGCATTCTGCTATCCAACCCCAAATGTCAACACAGCCATCTCCAGGGAATTACAACAAAATTTATCTAACCTGGCTCTAAATTGCTAATTTGTTATCTCATGAAGCAGTTGAGCCAGCCGAAAGTGGTCCGTCTCTCAGCTGCTGTAGACAAAGTTGGAGTTGCTTTTGTATCATCTCAGCAACCATTCGCAGCCTTCCTTGGCCCGGTTCTGCAACAGCAGGGGTCCCATTCACAGTCTCCACTGCCCTCGCCACCTTCTGCTTACATCTTTCCCAATCTTCAGACTGCTGCCAGCAAGCTCTCCCACCATGGCTCCCATTTATTGCAAGGAATGATATATGGCTGTTGTCTCCAAAAGAATACCTCAGTCTCACGGATACACAATACGGAAGCCAGGCAGCTCCACCAGCTACGTTCATGTGAGGAATGAGCGCATGGTCAAGTACAAATGTGAGAGCAAACTCTACTGAACTGTGGGCTCTATCATGATGAATATTGCTCTTAGCTAAAGAGCTTTCTGTTCTATCATCTGAAGCTGATCCTGAGTGATTTTCCAAACAAAGCTCAATGCGAGCCCTCTGAGCAGTTGCAATGTCACCATGAGCCTGGGAAAACCCTTTCTTCCAAGTAATCAGCTTCAAAAATTCTCTCAGCACCGATATAGGTAATGTAAGCAAAGTGATAAAAGAAGCAACTCTTGAAGCATCATATGGTTCAGAGGCAACACGCCTGCTGAAATAATCGCATATCTCGTTGATCTCGGCAGATGTCAGCTCCTCCTGAGCATTGCTCTGAGCTTGCTGTTGCTGTTGCTGGTGGTGAAACCGCTTAACACTCAGAACTTGTAGAAGCAGTTGAACCCGATGGACGCTAACTGCAAATACATAACCTCTACAAGAAGACGACGGAAAATAATGTATCAGAAATATAAATTGTCAAACTTCAAACTGAAAAGAAAGCAAAGAAAGAAGCATTTTCAGTAAATGATCAGTTTCCTTTGTAATTCTAGCCTATTCTCAAAGAATTATGGGTTGATGCAGAAAATAAATAATACATCAGTACAATACCTATATTCAGTAAATATATAAAGTATTTGGACGTAAACAAAAATAGCATATCAGCAATTTAATGCATGGTGAGAAATTAAGGATGACGCATGTAATGTAATGTAGAGTAATATTTTAAGATCCTGCATAAACAGAATATAACTAGGAAAGGGCACTATTATCCAATGATAATAAGGGAAAACTCAATATGTTAGATTGCACATAGAAATTTCCCATTACTAATATTCCATATGGAAGAGCGAACAACAATGATTTACGGAATGAGAATCTGATAATAGACTTCAGTTTCTCAACGAAACAATACATTATTTTATTTTATAATTTATTTTTATTATTATCATCATTGTCATAATAAGTCTTACCCCACATAGAACCGCAGTGCAGGCTGCTCTTGATCCAAATTCAAAAGAGCCCCTTCGTTGTCCTTCAAAATTGACCCCAATATCTCTTTCAGAAGTTCAGGCAACTGTGCAAACAACCATAGAACTCCAAGGTACTTAAGAATCCCTCTTAACACCTTCTTGAGAGCTGCCAACGGAACCCAACCACCACCGTAGCCACCATCATCCCCAAGCCCAATGAAGGCTGTGTTTAGTTCTCCTTTCATATGAACAGGAAGGCCAGTTCCAGGTGTTAGTCGCACAGAGGCTCCACCAATCCCTGAAGCAAGACCTGAAGAAGACAACATGGCATTTCCTGCTCGACTCAAACTAGCTGCTACATGGTTGGCAACACTAGAAGTTGGCCTGGACATAGCAACACCAGGGGTGGCATTTAAACGGTTTGCAACAGGAGCAGATTGTGGAGCTCCAGCACTAGTATTTAAGTGTGGACCAGGCTGTGTAGCATTCATGAAAGCAGGTTCAAGAATATTTAGACCTTGAGCAACATGCTCCATTATGAAAGGTCTAAATTGTGGACATGGCAATGACCCGCCAACTGAAGGCCCACCCTTAGGAGGGGTTGCGGGCTGTAGCCAAACCTGATCCCCGGCGAAGCAACGCATGTCAACAGAAAACTTCTTGCGATATATAATGCGTATCCAGTATGGGCCCCGAAGCACGACGGAAACATCAAAAGGCAGCAATGAACTAGGAACAAGTCCAGGTCCACCCCGTCCAGCAGCGGAGAGCATGGCAGCAGTATGAAGAGTATGACCACCCAAATGTGCCGTAGCATTTGATGGGGCAGATGCATGATGCATAGTTGTTGCTGATGAACCATTTGCTAGTGGCCCCTGGGAGGGGACATTATTAGTTTGCTTTGGCATTGAGCTGTACCCAGTCGAAACTGTTACAGGCATCCGTGCAGGACGAATTGCACCCCCAAGAGCAAGTAAAGGTCCTGCTGTTAGCCGAATACAATCCAAGAAGGATGCAACCTCACCACCATTCACGAAATCCTCCAAAAACTGCATTTAATGAACATGATAACAAGATCAATTAAAGAAACAGAATGGCCGATGCCTAGAGGTCAAACTGGAACAGCTCATTTGACAGTACAGAAAGAACATGTCGAATAAATAAATTAAGTACTGCTATCCTTGAAACTTTCATAATAAGTTACACCTGTACACAATTGCCAAAAGGCAAAGAAAGATGAAATGTAGAAGAAATTATTTTCAACAGGAAATTGAACTGAAAAGGAGAATGCACACAATTCATAGAGAATTGAGTTGTCAACCTGTGAAATACGAAATGCAATTTAGTCCGACAGAAAAATATCACGTTGTTGTGTTCTGATTCATTAGGAACCAAGAGGATAAACGATGCACTACAAGAAACATGTAGAAATGTAGGCACTAGGAAGTGGGAACTTGTTTTGCTTTCAAGACGGCCGCCGGAAATAATTTTGCCATTTTTTCTTGATCCATACGTAATTATATTATTATTATTATTATTACTATTACTACTTATAAACATATGAGTTACAAAAATATTAGTACACATGTTAAAAGATTTATACATCATTTACTTGTATTCATCTCATGTACTCCCTCCGTTTCTAAATATAAGCCCTTTTAATAAAGATTCCAATATGAACTACATACGGATGTGTATAGACGTATTTCAGAGTGTAGATTCACTCATTTTGCTTTGTATGTAGTCCATATTGAAATCTCTAAAAAGTCTTATATTTAGGAACCGAGGGAGTATGTTGTTTCCAAACATAGAGTAAGGATGAGTTAAAAAGCACTAGTTGTAAACTTTGACATGTTGAAAGATTCATATCATTTGCTTGTACTCATCTCAAGTATGCTCTTTCAAAACATAGAGTAAGCATGAACGGACCTTTGTGTGTGGCCAAAGCTGGTCAGGAGAAACATGCATTGTGCAACCTTCCTTAGCAGTTTCCCATTCGACAACAAAGTGAACCATTGGCATATGGCCATAGCTGAACCAAAAGCTCATTAGGCCAACAGCTTCAATCCTGAATGGCTTTCCCATATGTTCAGATAGCCTGTCAGCATCACTATGGCCTTTATTAACAGACTGTGATTTCATCCCCACAGATATATGGTTGTCATCTAGCTTATCATCAAGTTTTACACCGATCAATCTCCTCATTCCACGAGCAAATACCCGTGCATTGGCAAGCCGTTGTAAATCTGACACAAGCCTCTTAACACTATCTGCCTCAACAGTGCTATAAGTTAAAACAACACCATCCACGTCAAAAGAGATGTGTGAATCCATCTCAGATGTGTTAGCTATGCGTACACCAACACCCCACGGTGTTGAGGTGCTTCCTCCATTGAGCTCCCAAAGTTCCTTGAAATGTGGATCATTTATCCTAACGTCCCATGACATGCTTCCAGCCTTTCCAAGGCGTAAGCATATGTGTTTCCAAGAATCATCTTGAGCAAACGGTAACCTGAACCAAATATTCGAGGATGGTGATCGCATGCCCACTTCTTCGACATATGGAATGGCACTAGAATACATCTGGGCAGTTAGTTGAGCATGCTTGATGCATAGCGAACAGTGCCTTATTACATGTAGTAGCACTGAAGCATACACAGTTGCTGGAACACAATTATTTCTTTCGGCAAGAATATTATTTCCATGGGTGAGGCTGGTTCCTGATTGTGAACTAGAAGAGTATGCCTGCAAAGGAAGGGAACTCTGCGCCGATTCTGATATTTTTCTTCGCTTACTTGGCTCACTGGATTTCAGTCCTTGCAGTGAAGGGAGATCTAGCAGGAAATCTGAAAGAGAGCGCTTTCTAGGTGCACAATCAGCGCCTAAGGTGATGGCCTTCCCTAATCCTGTCAATTGCACAAGATAAACACATTTGTAATGGTAATGCAACCTTGTCTAATTTAACAGACAAAATAATCGTAAATACAGGAAATGAGCCTAGATCAGCTGGTGGGAAGTGTGGGTACTGGGTAGTACTCCATCCGTAACGAAATATAAGAGCATTTAGATCACTACTCTAGTGATCTAAACGCTCTTATACTTCTTTACAGAGGGAGTACTAGTCATAGTTAAAAAAGGCATGCCTAGCGCTTAATTGCGCATAAGCATACACTTTGGTCAGAAAAGTGCAAGGCAGTGGCAAAAGGCCGTGAAGCTTATCCAGGGGGTGTATTTTATTTGCATTCACACCTTTTAGAAAGAACCGCTAAACGAAGGAAGAACGCCTAGCGCTTTTTTAACCATGGTACTAGACTACTAGAACACCCCCATCACCCAGGTTTCAGTCCTCTTCAACTCAAATTTGGGTGCTTATTTCCCTATCGATGAAAGTAACCTAGTTCCTCCTAGGTGATCTAGCAAAAAAAAACCTTTGCATAAATACCTTCAATGGCAGGTGAAGATCGAACCAAATGAGCAGGCAACGTGCTTGAAGGGGCGAGTTGAAATGGTTTATTTCCATCTGCAATACCATGCTCACTTGGAGAGCTCAATGAACTCAGGTCATGATTAGATTTAGAGTTTGACAACTTGATAGCAGATGAATTTCTTACAGGGTTAGAGGACAAAAAGGCGTTTGTACTCTGTAAATGGCTCAAACTATTTTGGAAATAGCTGTTCACACCGACACCAGGACAAACTATTGAGGTATTATTAGCTTGGGCATGAGACAAGGCCCCATCCTGCATCTGTGAAATAGTTCTGGTGCTTGCGCCTTGAGGACCAAGTGAAAGAGAGCGCACAGGAGAAGCAGAAGGCAAACTAGAACCATGTTCACATTCGAAGGTCTCATCAACAATAGATGAAAACGATGGTGAACAAGCAGGCAGCAGTGGAAGAGGATCAACACTATTCTGAATGAGAAGTTGATTGTCCATCATGTCATCACAGTTCTCTATACTTTGTAGGGAATGCAGTTTGGCATCAAAAGGATTTGAATTCTTCTCATATTTTATTTTTTCCATCTGCCCAACATCAATCTTGTTTACCCTCATGGCTTCTTTGGCACCTATATTTGCATTAAGCTTATTGCTTGCGTCAGACTGTGTTTCAAGCAAATGAAAAACAGGCCTGAAATCCTTATCAAGTTGCATCAACAGATAATAGGCATTTGCGCATTGCGGAAATCCCATAACCATCAGATCTGAACCATGTAATATGGCCTCTGGAATCTTTAGAGTACCCTGAGACTGCTCATAAACCTGGAATAAAAACAACAGAATTTGATCACTTAATATCTGGAGCAAAGAAATTTGCGTATTCACGCACTTATACAGGTCATATATAAGAGAATGCCAATTGTATTAATACAGCCAGAGGACTTATCAGCAGAACACACAGCAGCTGTTTAAGGATGTAAATACTAAATAGTGATCTCAAACAAGTTACATGCCCTGGAGGTTATTTGCCATTAATACAGTTATCCTTGATTCAAAATCCCAGACAAAAGA